TCTCGTTCGATCTCCCGGGACGGCGGATTTGTCAAATTTTCCAGGTGGACGTAAACAACGCTTCTGAACGGAAACGGCGCGTCGACGAGACGCGCGAGGAGTCCCTGGACGGCATCGTCGGGGGCGAACGAAGACGGACGCACGGATTGGGAAGAAAGAGAGGAAGGATTAGTATACGCGTCGCCGTGAGTTATGCAGGCGGGTCACGGCAGGTCGTCGAATGGAATCGATATCTGCCGGGTGAAATAATAACCGTTCTCTTTCTATCGTCTCGTTTGCGCCCTTCGACCGTCTCTCTTCGACCCGTCTCCGTTACCATCAGATCTTCAGAAGAATTTTCAGAAAATAAGTTCAGCTACAAAACAAAGAAATTCATGCACGACGAGGACAGAACAAAACGTCGAGATAAACTTGTGAAAATTGTAGTTTTTCGATACTCGAAGGTGGCACAAGGAGCTGCAACAAAAAATTAATTCCAATTTAACCCTTCCAGATCTGATTTATCTTTTTTTTTTTTTTTTCGTAGTAATGTAATTCAATTTTCAGGGTTAAGAATTTATGATTAATGTTAACTGTAGCCAATTATGATATAGAGAGTCTTCCACAAAGAACTTCAGAATTTTGATCGTTAATCAAACGCGAATGGTACGGAATCATTTCCACTAAAGATTAGGGTCATTTCCATCGCGACCATTCTGGCAGGTTTATTTTATTATTAAAACATAGTATTTAACCCTTTTAGACCTAAATTGGTTTTTTTCTCCTACTAATGTCATTTAATTTTCAGGATTAACTTGGACTGAAATTAGTATGGAAGAAGTAAAAAGAAATCCTAATAGGGTAGTTTTTGAGGAAAACTAGTTTTTCGTCAATGTCCGCACGAATAAGGACAAATTTTAAATTTTGTGTCCTCAATTGTTGACACTAGGTCTGGAAGAGTTAAATAAATTTAATTGGGAAACATTACTATCGTGTTATTCCAATATTCTCCTATCAGATTATCACATGTTTCGTTTATTGCAACGTTTGTTTAGCGTGCGATAAATTTACTAATATGAAACCAATGAAATGCAACATTTTTTGGTGAATTAAAATACTAAAACGTATTATTTAATACCTTACAAGAAACACAAGAAAGTTTCCGTTTTCGTTTGCCTGGCTGCGACTAACCTCTTAATAGATATTGAAAACTCGTAATTACGAATAAATAGAATTGTAAACTGTATTTTCAAAGTTATTGCAAAAAATATTGTACCACTTTGCATTTACAAAATTAATTAGCCACGAAATGAAAATAGAATAGTCAAGTACTGTTTGAAATAATATTTGAAAAGTGGCCAGGTCTGGTAGCCATCGTCGAAGAGGATTACCCTCTTGCTTCGAGGTACCTTCGCGTTGCTTCTGCTTCCCATTGATAACACGCTTGTGCTAGCTGATTATGAGCCACGTTGGGTGTCCTGGATCTCATTGTTTCTACCGCTGTCCTCGTAATTAGAAGAGTTCCACTCGGTACACCGACCACAGTCAACAGAGATTTCACGGAACTTTAAAATCTCGCTGTTTCGACATTTCATTTTTTGATTAATACTCTGAAATTTAATGTAACAAATAATGTAGAAAAGTCGGATATTAGAAATTTCTTCATATTTATGGACATAGAACCGTATTTAGAAAACGTAAATTAGATTTGTAGAGTTTTATCTGATGCAATTGCAAAATTATTAACTGAAAGGTTTTCCAGAAGGATCTGTAGAATTTTGGTTTTTAATTAAACACGAATGGTATATAAATACGATGTAATATCTATGATTCACCAATATGGAAAAAAAACCGTAAATATGGTAGTAAAAACTGTTCAGAGTATAACCGAAGAATATCTCACTTCGAAGCATTTACTGTGTTTAAAAAAAGATTTAGACGATTTGGAGGCTAAAAGGAACTCGATACTGTACAAAGTTATATGGAACAAATTATGTGATTTAGCTGCCAAAAAGTTTCATATCCATAGGATTCGATTCTTTAATTTTGTTAAAAAGTAGAAAGATCGAACAATATTGTTTCTTTCTTATTTTTTATCTTGTTAATTTGAATTTTGTATTTTGTATTTACGTATTTTTATTAACTTATTTTGTACTTTGTTAATTAAAATTAAATTGTATTCATTTCATTTTATTTTGTTTTAATTGTTAAGACAAATAAAATGCCAACTACTTGTTATTCCATCATGTGAAAATTCTCATATCTGATCAATACAAGTACTCTAACCAGAATCATACACAAAGAATGTAATTTGATGATACAGAAATAAACAAATTACAGTAGGTGTTCGTAAGTTGAATACTAAAATTAGAACACACGTAGCTTGTCAATTAACCCTTTGACAAACATTATCTTCAGTAGCTGTAATGCATAAGTATTTGCAGATATGTATCGCCTTTTTATGATTCGTCGAACGAGAATTCCCCCTTAAGTGCTATGCGTGTTGCAAACTATTATTACATTTCCTTCGGCCGCGAATGGTCGTTGCGTGATAAACGCTAGAAATCATGAGGTGTTTCTATAAATGCCCAAAACCACTGTTAAATTAGTAACACCTTTTTTCGATCGATGAAAAGGTAGAGTAAGGAATAACAGTGGAAGCTAGTAGAGAATATAGAGTAATGGCTTTTGGAATGGATGCAAGAAATATTTTACATAAGAGAAAATCAAGATAATAAACAATCTAAAAGGATTATGAAGCGTTAGGTATGCATTTAAATTAAAAAGACGAAATTAGTAAAACATAATTACTTAATATTAACACAAAATGAATTTAAATTGCAATAAGACCATGACTATGTAGTACATATAATTAACTGTTAATGACAATAAGTCTAATAATAAGAACATAAAAGGTTGATAATGTAACAAATTATTCTTCTCAAAGAAAGTAATCAGTGATACAAAATATTGAAAGATATATTACTTATAATATATTTAAAGGTATTTTAAGATATATTCAGGTTAGTATAATTAGCTGTTTGATGCATGTAAGTAAATAGTACTTTCCTCTTTTTTGCAAGAGAGAAATTTTTGGCAAACAATCTTAATGTACAGAAGGAACAGTATGAAAATTAAGGAAATTTAGTTGTAACACAGAAACGAAATGTAATATCATTGAAAAGCAAATGAAAATAAAAAGAAAGTGTAAAAGAAAATATTTCCACAGTAAT